AAAAATTTAGGATTAAGAATTTTATTCTGTATTTTTTAAAATTTAAGAGTCAGGGAGTTACATCATGAAAGCCTTTATATAACAATGGAAATTTTATATGAGTTAGCATTTTCAAACACATAGTTGTAGATATAAATGTTTCTACATTTTTTTAATTTCTCAGTGATACTTGGATATCCCTTATGTCCAATAAGTTAAATACTTATTGTAGCAGCATCAAAAGTCAACTAATTATCATGGTACAGCACCAAAGATTGTAAGTACCTCACTGTGGTGCAGTTATAAATTTTCAAATTGGTAGCCTACAGACATGGCTGCAGGTGAATTCATTACGATGAAATCAGGTAAGTACACATAACCTCACAGGCTGGAAAGGTGTACTGATTCTTCCTTCACCCAGCGCTCCTATCTGGCATGACCTCGGTAAGACTGGGAGAGCCTCATAACTCCTCTTAGCATATGCTTACCTTGTGCAGATTCTAGGGAAGCTACATCCACATCCCTTTTCTAACATTACAGCCATGGAAGTGCTCACACTTGTAGCTTTTCCATAACCTAACTTAGTCCTATGGCCTCCTTAAAAAGAAATCCTTTTGTTTAAATAGCTTAGTCAGTTATTTGGAGAGAAACACAGAGCTACTAGGTTTTTAAGGGTTTGTTTTGCCTTTGCTGTAGTTTATGTATTTTTGAAAACTATATTTTAGAAAATACAATCCTTTGGTTATCAGTATGAAAAAAATAAGTAAAAAAAAAACTTTAAAAAATTATTAGAAAATGCTACATGCAAACATATGGTCTCATCCTATTGAGTGTGTAACATGGTTAAAAATGATACTTGTAGTGACACAAGAGTTGATCCAGTTATTTGTAAGTTTTACTTCTGTTAATTGTAGAGATAATAAGTTGGCTTATCAGATTTGTTATCTGGATGCTGAGACAATCAGTGGCTCAGGAGAGTTATATAGAATTCAGGCCTCATTAACTAATAAGAGTTCGCAAATTAAAAGATTTTAACGTTCAGTAATTTTTTTCCCCAGAAAAAACTCTTGGAATTATTCTTGAGTAAATTTCCCATAGTCTGAGAATAGTTTATGAAAGATCTCATCTGAATAAAATTCATGTATTTTTACTAAAGTAATTTTCTTCTGAAGTAATCTTGTTATTATTATTGGGTTTGGTTGCAAATCTCACTAATATATTGTAGGAGGAAATTAGTGACATTTCCTCTCAGGCAATATGTAGCATAAGGAAAACTGAACTTAATAGTAAAAATCCAAAAGTCCTAGTTGTCCGCGCTTACATTGAAGGGGCAGGGGTTCAATCCCTGGTCGGGGAACTAAGATTCCCGCATGCCGCACAGTGGCCAAAAACACAAGTCCTAGTCGTTCTGGCTACCTGTGTGACCTTCAACAAAGTAATTTACCTTCGCTGGGCCTTGGTGTCTTTCATCTATAAAATATTGTACCAAATTATCTCTAAGATCCCTTCTAGTTCTTAATATATATGATTATCAATACTTCAAATAATATTATTTTAGAAATTATTTTCATTTAGAATATAAATTATTATATTCATTTATAAATTGTTACAGATAAGCAGGTAGCATTCTGTAAACTGTAAAAGTTGAATTTATTAATGTAACTGTTAAACACATGTTACTTCTTTAAGCAGATAATTGGTATTTGGTTAATATCCTTACCACCCAGTGTATGTTATTTTCACTAGATGCAGACAGAATTTATGTTTAGATTTGTATCTGTAACCTGATTATCTGAATACTTTGAGACTATTGCTTTTAGGCTGATGGACCTTTGCCCCATACAGTTCTGTATTTCTTTTCTCCATATCTTCTGTTGGCTAAAAGCTCTCAGAGGGATCCCCAGTTCTTCATACTTAATACATATCTGTTTACATCTTTGGTTCTTTGAGGCTAAAACATCAGTGAGTAAAACAACTGTGTGTGTCTGTATTTATGACTCATTCTGTCTAAAATTACATAGGCCTAGGTTACCTTCAATTAAACTAGATTGAAGAGTTATCAATAATAGTCTTGTTAAATGCCATTGAGTCCTTTCTTCAATAAACATTTACTGAGTGCCTAGCATGGCAAACACTACGTTAAATACCAGGGATACGGAGATAAATAAGACACATTTGCTTCCCTGAAAGGAATTCACAGTTTAGTTGGTAGGAGAAACAGCAGAACTCATCATTAGGTATTAAGTGCAGTAATTGGGTTTATAGAAACACACAGGAGTACCTAACATAGTCTGGAGAAGTTAGAAGAGGCTACCTAGAAAAAGTAATGCCTGCAGTGCATTTTGATTGAGGATGAGAGTGGGAGTTGACAGAATGAGTACAGTGAACAAAGCCCACAATAGAAAAAGCTGGGGCGTGTGTGTCAAGAATTATAAGCCCTGTGTGGGGCAGGAGTGGTAAGAATCGAGACCACCATTCTAAGTTCTCAGGTACAAGAGAAGGAGGTTTTATGTTCCATGTATGGGAGCTTGGCCTTTATCTCTAAGCAAGAGACGCCATTAGAGAGTTTTAAGGAAAGAAATGACTTTTATTGAGGTTTGGTTTCATCCATTTCATAATCCAATCCCACAGGTTTTAAAGGATGAAATTAGTCTCATTAAAAGCCCACATAGAAAATAATTTGAGTCTTTGATAGTCTATTATCTGATCTCTTATTCTAGGCCCACTTTTCTAAGTTCTGATTTCTAAAAATTACAGTCTTCTGAAAAGCTACTATATTCTTAATCAGACCCATCCCCAGAATTACATGCAAATGTACATAATTTGAAATGTGTTTTGCTTTTAATTTTATTTTAGGTTATTTTTGACTGACAGAATATATTGTGTTGTTATGTTAGTATTTTCAGTCGATATAAATCCTTTAGAATATATTTTTCAAGGCAGACCGTCGTAATTTGGTGAGGCTTCTTTTAATATTTTTAATATTGATTTGACTATTTTAATATTTAAATCAATATTACGAAGTGCAACTGCTTCAAAGTCACAGTGACACACACCAGCTGGTCTACTAGATAGCCCTGTTGCTCTCCCCCAGGTTTCCTGGCTTGGCAGGGAGCGCTCCACAGATTCCAACTGATACTAAGTGCTGAGACTCAATTTTCCTGGGCAGTTGGCATCCAAGAACAGTAGGGTTTGTTAGGCCAGCTCAATGATAATTTCACTTGCGAAGCCCAGGATCTTCAGACCTCACTTGTCTCCTCCCAACTCCTCTAAAATTTTGCAGAGCGCCAGAGAATTGGGTTGCCTCTTGTAGAGCACAGCCCGTGATGCATGCAGCCATGCCCAGCCCCAGTTTGCCTGTCCCACAGGTTGGGAAGAGTCTGGGGAACCAGGAGCATTTTGCTGGCCCTGAGTCTCTAAGTTTCCTGCTTCTTGTCTGGCCTCTGCTCTTCCCCTTGAGCAACAAAAGTAGACTTACCAGTGCCTTAACTAACTTTCTCAACCTAGATTTTCACCTGAGGCAACATCTAATCAGTAATATAATTATTAATATCTGTGTATCAAGATAGCCAATTTTCTGGGGTTTTTTTAATCAAAGCTGGATAAAAGATGAAGAAGTACCCACACTTTATGTGCTTTCACAAAAATAGATGAAAATTCTTTGCTTTTATGACCACGTGTCATTTTTGTAATGGAAATGTTTCAACTTTCAGACTTCACACACACTCTGAGCAATTTTAATATTTAAACATTGGCAATACTGTGCTCTTTTTGAATGTGAAATCCAACACTGGCAGTAGGGTGTTGCAATAATGATCTGGAACTATGCTGTCAGTGTAGCCACATGTGGCTATTGAAATTTAGATTAATTAAATGAAAATGTGTCTCTTCAGTTGCACTAGCCACATTTCAAGTGCTGAGTAAGCCACATGTGGCTAGTGGCTACCATGCCAGACAGTGCAGATATAGAAAGAACATTTCCATCATCACAGAAACCTCTACTGGACAGCACTGGAATCCCCAGTTCTTAGTAGAAATTTTGACAGGCTAATGGCCAAAAGTTTCTAACCCTGAGTTTGCATACCTGAGAGCCATAAGGCATTCCTTTCTTTTCCCCCAGCAGACCAGAGAAGCTGTATTTGACACACTTTGAAAGGCTAGTCTTCTAACTACAGAAACTTTGTACAATACGGTAGATGTGTTCAGCAGAGCCAGCCTAAAATTAATTTTTTTTTCCTATTGAATTCCATTATAGGACCAGGTCTGTGTTCTTATAATAGAAATCACACTTATGAATAAAAATCTTTTAAAACAATTTTAATTTGCAGAAACTGTGGTTTTATTTCTAGATGTCTAAGTGATGCCACTGCAGTAGCCTTAGGTTGGACCAGAAAACTAACTTGTTTGTTTTATAACTTTCATTCTAGAAATTCCTTAGGAACTTTATCAGTGAAGGATTTTTGTTATGGTTATCCCTTGCAGAAAATATTTATCATGCAGATTATACATAGTGATACATTTTGTTATTGAATGTTAGTTTTTATAAAGGCAATAATACAGCAAATCCCCTAAAAAAGGCATAGGTTGATTTCTAAGAGACTTAAGAACACACCACTTCTCATTCATAAGGCCCCCCCCCCCCCCCGAGATTTACTTATCTAGTACCATCTCTTATAAAAATAACTGCCTCGAGGTGTGAGAAACTTGTGAAGTGCTGGTAATGTGACATAAACTTCTCATTGTTCTTCACTGACATAGGTGTGCTTATCTTGTTATTGATAAATTCTATAATTTCTCCTGAAGTATTAACATAATTTCATGTAATGTAGAAACATCTTAATTAGCAAATAAAAGTAAACTTATGCACATGGAAATCTATCAGAAACCTTAGTGGGTGTTTAATAAATTAATTGAATGATCAAAACTGCAGCTGTGTCTTGCTTTGTGCGTGGTGAGTTTTTGAAAAGTATTATTACAAACTGTATTTGAAGTGAACTCTTTATTTTTGTTGCTCCATCTCTCCAGTGAGCTTTTACAACACAGGATATTTAACAGTAAGCAGTGTTGATTTGTGTCATATCCATTGTTTTTTCTCGAATTATATCATCAGCTTCATAGAATGTTTCATTTGTTGAATTTGAACTGGGGGCTTTGGTTTTTCTATTTGAGCTGCCTGCAAATACACAAAACAAAATGAAATAACTATTTGAAATTATGACATCAAATCTTACTTTAAAATTTGTCCTTAAAAAAATAAACTTTTTAGGAATGTTGGAAATATGATGTCCTGAAGACCTTATGGATGAGTGAGAATTGAATCATTTCAAAGTTGTTTTTGAGCATTTTCTCCTGAAAGTCAAATAAGGGAAATAGCAACAGAAGTAAGGATTTCGTTTCCATGCTTACCTTTCTTTCTCCACAATTCCACGGAGGAAACTACACATTTGGTCAGAAGGTAACAATTTCTGGGTTGCTTAATAAAAGTGTGACTGTCCTTATGCATAAAGGGAACAAAACTAAAATCGATCATAATAATTTACAACAATCTTAAAACTTTGCCATTATAATCAGTTGAGATGTAACATTTAAAAAGAGCATGTTCATCCCACAATCCCATTCACTCGTTCTATATAAATGAGTCCAAAATGCACAAGGGTAGAGGAATGTGGATATTTGTTCATCAGAAGTTAGACTAACAAGCTCATAGCAAAGAAATGGATTATTAATCAATGAATGACGTTAGAAAAATTAAGTGTGAAAATAATGTCATATATTTCACCAATATATACAAATTTAAATATATTTAAATAATTTTATAATTATGTAAAAGCAGTGCAAGAAATCACAGATGTTACTAATAACCCCCTGTTGCTAAACCCACAGTTCAGCTCACAAGCCACATCCTATCAGCAGCATTTTCTTTCTTGGCTTCCCAGATGCCACCCTTCCTTGACCCGCTCCTGTGTCACCATTGCTCCTTTTCCATCTTTCTTGTTGGTCCCTTTTCCTCTCCCAAGCATCTTAGGCTGATTAGTCCCACAGTTTTTAATACCATCTCTGCTGATGACTCCCAGATATGTATCTCTAACCCACACCTCTCCTGAACTCCAGACTCAACTTGCCATCTCCACTTGGATATCTAGCAGACATCTCCAACTTAGTCTAAAACTGATATTTGGATCATTCCCAGGAAAAAAAAAAAAGAGCCCAATCCACTTACAGTCTTCCTCTTCTCAATTGCCGGCAACTTCCATGTGTTCAGTTGCTCAGGACAAAAACCTCTGTCAGTCTTGGTTCCTCTTCCCTCAACCCCACCACCAATTTATCTGATAGCCTGTTGACTACATTTTTTAAAACACATCCAAAATCAGACCACCTTCACTGCTACCACTGTTCTATTTTCAGCACAACACTCAGAGTGATCCTTTGAAACATAAGTCAAAGCGTGTCCTCTGCAAAGAACCCTCCATTTCACCCAAGTCTTTATAATGGCCTACATGTCCACACACACACACACACACACACACACACACACACACACACACACACACACCATTAATCTCCCTGACTTCATCTTTTTCTACTTCATCCTCTCATTCACTCCAACCTCTTTGATCAAACATTTCAGGCATGTTCCAGCCACAGGGCCTTTGCACTGGCTGTTCACTCTGTCTGGCATGCTCTTCCCTCAGATTGTCTTCCCAACCTCTTTGATCAAACATTTCAGGCATGTTCCAGCCACAGGGCCTTTGCACTGGCTGACTGTTCACTCTGTCTGGCATGCTCTTCCCTCAGATTGTCTGCAGGATAACTCCCTAATTTCCAATCCTTGCTCAGAAGTCACCTTTTCAATGAGACCTAAACACTGTATTTAAAATTGCAACCTACATTCCCCCCACCCCATCCCCAATCCCTTTGCTCTCCAGTTTTTCCCATAGCATTTATTTTCTAATATAATTTACCTTTTTGTTATGTTTATTATCTGTCTCCTCTCACTAAAATGTAAGCACCACATGCCAGAGATCTTTTACTATATTTTTCATTGATGATGCAGAAGAATTGCATTGTACATAGCTAATGTTCAATAAATTTGTTGAGTGAAATGATAAGATTGAAAGTGTGGCATAGTAAAAACTTTAAAGTTGTAGATTGCAAAAGACAAGATTGAAAGCCAACTGGGAAGAAATGTTTAGAACACATGATTCATGTTTAACATATAACCAGAATTTACATATCAATATGTAAGACATTAACACCTCTTAATCAGTAAAGAGATGGGCAAAAGATCTACTGAATCTCCAATGTACTAGTCAGAAAGAAATGTAAATTCAAAAGGTAATTACCATTTTTCATGTCTCAATTAGGAACAGATAAAATCTTTCTTGGCCAAGAGTAATTTAAGTAATTTATTTTACCGTCACAAAAATTCAGAAGAAAAGAAATAAAGCCATATATCGTACCACTCAAGGCTCCACATTTTAAACAAGATACTTTTAATATTAGCCCAGAGAATAATGCCATGCATGTTTCAGGCCTATGGGCAAGATCTGGAAGCTGTAGTGAGACATCATCCTTCAAAACTTATCAATAATATTACCCCTTTGAGTGTTAGTCTATGAAATCAACCCATAGTGGGGGATGTCCTGCCTGGCCCTAGAAAGCAGGGCCAGTGGGATGGCATGATGGGAGTGTAAACTGGTACATTTATTTTTAAGTCTGGAGTGTTCCTACCTTGTGATTTTTGCATGAGGTTCCCAAGGAAACCATAAGAGATGAGCTCTAAAACTTATAAAGATATTCACTGATTCTTTTCAATACCAAAAAACTGTAAGTACCCTAAATTTATAATAGGGAAATTGCTAAATTATCATACATAAGTATGATGCAGCCATTTAATCTGAAAAAGTGATTTCCAAGAAATTTTTAATTACATTGAAAATGCTCAAAATACAATGTTAAGTGAGAAAAGATGCAAAACTATCAGCAATACAATAATAGTTAATACTTTCATAATGTTTCCTCAGAGCATTTACTATCAGCTTCTCTCTGCTTAAAATTCTTTAGGATCAAATCTTAACTTCTTGGTTAGGCTGAGGATGAGCCCTACTTCCCTGTCCCAGCTCAGCTCGCCCCATTCCCTTCCTGGTACTTGGCATTTCAGACATACAGAAATACTGACTGACAGGCTCCCCAGACTTGGCCTGCTCTCTTGCTCTCTCTCTGCCCCATGCCTTTGCATACTTCCAGCTGCCTGATATCCCTAACTCTCTAATCTTTGCTTGAAAAACTCTTATTTGTCCTTTAGGTTTTGGAAAATCTGCTCCAAACCTACCTAAGGGGAAGGGGGACTCACTAGCCAAGAGATTTCACTATTAGAAGTAGCTTTCCTCTACTTTTTTGCCATCTAGTCTCTCTTCTTATATGACTTTTTCACTTTTTTTCTTTAGATAAGTCTAAGCCTCACCTTTAAGTGTGTTCATACTGCCTGGCTTTGCCCATTTATAACTAATTGTATAGACTGCTTTCTAGAGTCACTGAGGACATCCCTCACTATGGGTGGTTTTCATAGATCAACACTCAAAGGAGCAATATTATTGATAAGTTTTGAACGATGATGTCTCACTACAGCTCCCAGATCTTGCCCATAGGCCTGAAACATGTGTGGCATTATTCTCTGGGCTAATATTAAAAGTATCACAATTTTAAAATATAGGGCCTAGAGCCATACAATATATGGCTTTATTTCATTACATCTGAACTCTTTTGGTGTTAAATTAATGTTCTACTTCTAAACATCCAATCATAATGTTTTGACTATATAATTTGATTTTTAAACAAAAACAACAAAAAGTTAATTTGTTGTAGGCACAACATTTTCTAGCCTGGCAAGTAGCTCTTTGCCCAGTCAGCAAGCAAAATTGTTTAAGATAAATGTAGTAGGGAAAGCTAGCATGAAAATTTGATGACCTGATAAATTCTTGACTGTTATTTGCAAAGTAGACTTTAAAAGATATATGGATTCAAATTTAACTACTAAATACTTAAGTAATGGGGTATATATATAGAGAGAGAGAGAGAGAGAGAGAGAGAGAGACCCTTGAAACTATTTTCCTTATATAACATTTGTAATATTTGAAAAACAAAATGTTTGTAGGCTTATTTTTATTGGTTCAGTATCGTTTGTACTCTCCGGTATCACAGCAGGTAAAAGGTAAAAGACCAAGGATTTAAGATGTAAATTAGTTTCATATTATCCGGGCAGAATTTGTATCTTATATAAGCATTTCTTTTCTTTGTTTATTGAAGTATGGTTGATTTATATCATATTAGTTTTAGGCATACAACATAGTGATTCAATATTTTTATAGATTATACTCCATTTAAAGTTATAAATATTAGCTATATTCCCTATGCTGTACAATATATCCTTGTAGCTTATTTATTTTATACATAATAGTTTGTGCCTCTCAATCCTCTTCCCTTATCTTGCCCCTCTAGCATTTTTTTAAACATCTAAATTTTTTTTTTTTTTTCCGGTACACGGGCCTCTCACTGTTGTGGCCTCTCCCGTTGCGGGGCGGACGCGCAGGCTCAGCGGCCATGGCTCATGGGCCCAGCCGCTCCGCGGCATATGGGATCTTCCCGGAACGGGGCACGAACCCGTGTCCCCTGTATCGGCAGGCGGACTCTCAACCACTGCGTCACCAGGGAAGCCCAAACATCTAAAATTTTAACCTTTTATTTGAAATCCTGGAAGTCTGAAGACTATAACATTTGATTAATTCAAGTCCTTCATGTTTCCTAAGGTTTTTACATACTTAAATTCTTAATATTCTAGTGAGACTTTCAAGGTGGTTTTTCTACCTTGTCACATACAGGGTTTTTTTTTCTTTTTATGGGAGTTAAACTCAGGAATTTATTTCCTCACTTAGTTTGGGGTTCTAAGAACCCCTTAGTCTGGGGTTCTCTCTTAAGCCATCTCTATTCTGACAGCTCTGGTTTCCATTACGCGTTTTTCTGGAAACAACGAGTTTAACCTGTCTGCTGCCCTCTGAGATTTAAAGGCTTGCAAAATACATTCCAGTATCCTATCAACAGATTTTCCTTCATCTAGGACTTGTAAAACCCCCCACTCCCCAGCCCTGATTCATTATTTCCTTGACTACTGGATCC